ATTGAACACATTAATGCAAAGATGACCTACACATCCACAAGAAAAAGAAGAAGAGTACAGTGTCACTTCTTTACATCAGTACTCAGTAAGTGGGCTGGTAGTCTCAGAAAAAGAACAAAAGGGTTCTGGATCTCCGTCAGACTGAAAGAAGATGGGGCTACCTCGCCCAGAAGTGTCAACACTTAGTCCCAAGCCTGATGATGAAGTGCTATTTGAAAGAAAGACTGAAGGGTCAGTTCAGTTTTAAGTCACGTGTTAACAAGTAAGCACTAAGACATTTTCTATAATAACTTACCTTTCACAGTCAGAGTCACATGAAACCTTTTCTTCTGATCTGATACAACCGGTTCTTGAACACTGAATGGCTTCAGCTACCGTGTACCTGGTCTTACCAACAGCACACCTTGCAATCTTTGTAATGCTAAGGTCTGACTGGAGGAACAGATGGAGCCGACTATCAGATAACAACAAGGATGTATGAAGAACACTAGAGGAGAAAAGAACATTAAATAGATGAGACCATTTCAATCAAATCCAAATAAAATTTGACAGTATTAAGGAGAACAAATCAGATTTCGATGGGAGAAAAAAAATAAAGCTTATATCTATACTGATATGTACTGGGTAATGCATTAGGAACAAAAGGATGCTACATTGAGGGAAATGAAAATTATGAATCTACAGAAGGCTGAATTAAAAGATACCCCTGAAAATCAAAGTAAAAAATAAAATAAAATAAAAATGATGCAACAGGATAGTCCATTCTGCTAGAGTTACATTGCAGCAACTCAAACAAAATGGTACTCGGTAGGTTGCATGGCCCTCCACGTTCTTTCTCCAGATCTGAGGTGCAATCTGCCAGTGTTAGATGGACGGAAACGACGTCCCAGAGGTTTTTCCTGTTGAATTTAGGTCAGGTGAGCATGGAGGCCACTCAATAGCATCAATTCATTCATCCTCCAGTATTGCCTACATACTCTTGCTACATGAGGCCAGTCATTTTTGTGCACCAGGTGGGACCCAGGACCCACAGCACCAGCCTAGGTGCTGTCCGAGAATGGGTTCAAAAATGGGGGGGACAAAATGCATTCTTGTTTTTTTGTTGTTGGTTTTTTTGGGGGGGTAGGGGGGGGTCATCTCATGTTGCCTTTAGTGCATTGGTTATAAATTTTATTAATAACAAAGCAAATGAAACGAATTACCAACCCCCTCAGCTATTTCACTCACCCAATTAATATCCCTCAAGTTTATATGACTTGCTGTAAAAGGGATGTGCTGATTTTTACCCCCAAACAGCCTTTGGGAGTATGAAAGGCTCCTCCAGGAGACATTAACTGAACTTCAGAAACTGCTTCAGCAGAAGAGCAACTCACATTTCTAAAAACCTCTGCAGACCCTTGATCCTCTGGATGACTCGTTCTGTGTTCTGCAGACTGAAGAAAGGGTTCCAGGGTGGCAATTTAGGCACGTCTCTGGACATGGATATAAGTATACATTTGTAACTTGCTGGATTATCAATTTACAACATGGATTAATCACTATCATAACAAGAAAACCTCAACATACATTATGAAAGCGTTCTGTTCCAGGCAGTGACGCAACCAAACAAACTCACTGTAGCGCCGTCTCACAGAGGAGGTCTTTTTTCGAAAACACAAGCTATTAGTCTGCAAGAGACAACAGTTCATTAAACGCTTATTACAAAAACAAGACAAAATAAAGCTAACAGAACAGTTTCTTTTTTAATTAGCACATACATGTAAACAGATCTCGTAGTCAACATGTGTGTGCCAGCGGCCATCTTTATGAAGCCTTGGATCCCGAACGCAAACTCTAATAAACTCCTGCAAAAATCAAGACCAGAGTTCCATTATTTCAAAATGAAAATGTGAACGTGGGCAAAATGAAAAGAGGATTGTCCCACTGTTTGGGTTTATCTATTTGCGATTAGAAATAAACAAGACAAGATACAGGAAAAAGAAAAAGTAGTATCAAAGCCACTTACAGTGTTTGAAAAATTATCCAGAATAGTGTCCATTAGTGATACAAAAACCTGGAAGGGAAATAAACACATTAGTACCATCTCTTTCAGCCTATTTGCTTATCAGGTGGTCTGATTTTAGCAAAATTATAGCAGCCTTTATGGGTTCTCAGAATTAAACAGCATGTTTAAAATCACAGCATTTCTTTTGTCCCCAATTCCATTTTATAAAACAATGGCTGGCAATTGAGCCTTGAGGGATTTAGGAGTGCAAAGATTTCAAACAGATTTGGGATCAAGTGGGATGAGGGGCAAAGGTGGAGGATTGAGTTTATGTGTGGGGAAATCTTGGTTCTGAACACATTAAACATGGGCACATAACAAAACACACTTGGGACAAAAACAGCCCACTAGAAAGAGAAATACAGTCTAGTGCTTTCAAAGCCAACTCTACAAGATTAGCTTTACATTAGTGATATGCATTATCCAGTCATCTGTTCATGAACAAACAAACCAAACATGCCATTTGCAGGCCTAAAGTCTAACCAGAGATAATAAGCAAGTTTAAACACATTTTCAAATAGGGTGATCAGGCCACCTTCAAAAGACTGAACTACACACCTTGCTCTACAGATCATATGAAATCATAAGCCACCACAGACTAATCTATTTGGATAAACTCTGTACTGAGGTGACTGTATGCTCTTCCTTCAAGACTGTCATTGCTCTTCAACAACAGTCCTGTAGCTGCAATAATTCAGCAGGTCCTACACGTAGAAGTGAGGTTAACAGGATGCTGCAGGGAATTGCATAACGGAGTGTACTTTGATCTGAACACTTAAGAGCATGAAGTATTATAATTTTCTAACCACTGTCCAGGACAACACAACAGGGCTTAAACAATGATGTAACACTCATAATCAGTGCTTATTACGCATCTTCCGAATACCCTAAAATCATTTGTAATGTTTAACCTCCTGAGAACAGAGGAAGAAAGACTCTTCCCATTGAACTTTTTGTGCTTTCCTTCCTCTTTGGAGCTAAAACAGGTCATCGAAACAGAGTTCAATGGAAACCCCAGGATGTCCTCTTTATCGCATCGGGACTTCGTAGGGTAGCTACTGAGAGGAAGAGAGGAAACGCAAAACAAAACAAACCCACAGATATATTAACAAAAAAAAAAGAGCGAGAAGGACGCCCGATTTTGCATCTACTTTGACCTTACCTCTCCCTTCTTCACCTCGAGTGAAATTATACGATAATGTGAACAACCACGACCAGCTCACTAACCTGGCTTGAAGCTTAGCCCTTCCTGGACTGAACTAAGACCAACACTGCTGCTACTAATAGGCTACTAATTTCTCAATGCTCAGCACGACCTCCTTTCCCGACTCGATCAGGCCACGTAAGTAGAAAGTATACCATAACAAGCAACATTTAAAAAGTAATCGTAAAATGCATTGCTTTTAAATCATTAGTCTAAATCAGGCGGAAAAAAAATGATCAAGAATCTCAGATGAGAGTAATATGTTAAGCGCCGCTTTTCTGCGCACCTGTTCCTTACTGCTATTATCCGGAATCAGTTTAAATGGTGTCACCTGGTGGGAGGAGGCCAAGCGATGGCAATGCAGCGACAACCCCAAATAACATCATAATAACTTTATATAATTACTGGTCTCTACAGGTTCAGAATTAGCCTGTGAACAACCCGATTTTCAAACATTCACTTTATTCATTTATTGATTGATTGATTGATTGATTGATTGATTGATTGTAGGTGCCTAACTAATAAAAAGAAACGGATTCATTGTTAAATTGATCTCTTTCTTCTTGAACCCTTCCATTTATGTTTCTTCTAATGCAAGTGCTTATGGGGATTTGCCTTTAGGAACATTCAGACAATTTAAAAGTACCACTTCATGGTCTGAGATTTTATGTCTGCTTCTTCTGCTTCTTTTTTGTTCCTACAACCAGCACTGAACCACAGTAACACTGCATGGTGGCTGGGTGGAGAAACTTTGACCAAAACCAAACAAACAAATCAAAATTTAATAGCTGTCCATTGTTCTGACTTTAATTGTTAACATAGTTGTCCATGACTGCTTCACTGCAATTCTAGATGAAATTTAGATATGCATGCTAGTTTTGAAAGGTGAAGCTGAGACATGGAGACAGACAGGCAACTGCAGCATGATACGGTACAAAAACAACATCCCAAAACCTTATCTGAGATATCACATCATGGGCTGTGTTATGCTTCGTTTCAACTAATAAATCAAAAGTTTCAAAATTAAATCAAAATCTCAAATCAAGGCATCAAAGCGTCAGAGATGACACTGACACCTAGTCTACGTGAACTCCAGCCCACAGCATGCATAGTTGTATACAATGACAGTTTTAAAATCGAAGACCAAGAGATCTTACCAAAGCCAGTTGGCGTCTATCCCTCTGACCAGTTCAAGAGTGAATCAAGAAACTAGTGAGACGTGACCTTAGGTTGGATGGTAATTTGCATATAGAGATCTCTTTATCTTGTGTCAACAGAAACTTTCATTTGCTTTTACAGACGGTTACAAAACAGCACCATTTTCTATACGATTTCTACATTTTATGGCCAATTAAGCAAAATTCAGAGTTGACAAAAGCTGACACCAGAAATATGTGAAATATACAGACCAAGATTTATTTTAAGCATGTTTTATATCACTTTAAATTGCTGCACTGACATTTAATTTCCATTAATATAGCTGTATGTCTATATTGAACTGATTCAAGCACTTAACAGATAAGACATGACTGTGTTGCTGTGATTAGATATTCGATTTAATCAAGATGTCAATTAAAAAAAAAAAAAAAAGTTAAACACGAGGAAATGAGAATAACAGGCCATTTTCCATCCCTGTATCCTTTCTGCAGGCTTCTCACTACTCATTAGCATTTACAGAACATAAACAAACTTTTCTGAGAAATTAGCTGTTTGTTATCAAATTTGTAGGTGAACGTTCATGCCGCAGTTGTTTTTTCCTGCTAGGACTAAAGGTTGGATATCTATCATGACCTTGTCCAAGTCACTTAATTTCAAAGAAACTTGAGTGATTTCCCACAGAAATCAGTAATGCACAAAGGTTCACTGTCTTATCTCCCATGCCATTATGCAGTCTTGCATTTAGAGTGAAACCACAGGACAACCAAAGCGCTGCAGCATGAAGACAAAACTGTAAAAAACATCACCCAAGAAACATCTATTAGGAACATAAGGAAATCCTAATTGTTAACTTTGTTTCATATGCAACTCGCTCTGAATTACTTCCAGTAAAGTCTGTATTTGTAGTTGGAAAAACAAAGCAAAACTAAAAGACACAAAAATCTGGCATAAAACCTTTATTAGAACGACAAACAATATTTAAAGACAGTATACAAAAAGTATTTATGGAACAAAACATCACTACAGTAGAAAACATGAGCAAGAATGTGGCAGAGTGAGAAAAGCGTTTTGGAATTTAAAACATTTAAACAAAGATGACGGTGGAAGTGGCCCTAATCAACCGTCCTTTTTCAGCTGTGCACTCGCTTCCATGAATCTGGCTGCATCTGAATGTGTTGACTTCAAGTCTAAATGAGCACCTAAACTAAACCAAGTATTATTAACGACATGCATGCACTGGATTACAACTGTACTTGTATCTTGTGAATCTCTGAGTTGCAACGCTCACTAGTTAATGCCCTAAATTTCAAATCTATGCATCACATTTAGTCCTAACTTTAGCTATTGACTTTAAATACAGTATCATTCCTCTATGAAGCATTTTTACTATTCACACTCCAGAAGGAAGTGCACAGCTCTGAGTGACACACAGTCAGATCCTGTGCTGTTATTGAAAAAGGGTGAGAAAACCAATCAAAACTGTAGTTGCACTTCACCCACAAACAAGCCTTCTGAATGTATGGCTAAATTGTGCGTACTACAGAGCTCTCCTTCACCATCTTGGATACATTTAAATGAAGCCATTAGGAACATAAGCGCAATCCATGTTGGAATAACAGATTGCTGAGCAGACTGCTGAAGCCAACATTGTTGTACATCTCGTGTCTGAAAAGGGGCTAAAGAGATCAGTCATTCACAATAATACAAGAAGGCTTCTTTCTTTACTTCTTAATCAAAACACTATCACCTGTTCTCACAATCGGCTAAGCTTATATTTACAACAGAACTCACCGACTGCCATGCAAGTGTTGAAACTTCTTCCAAAATAAAAAAACAAACAAAAACAAACAAAAAAAAAAAGACTAATTTAGCTAGACCTAGAAGGCAAGTCAGGAGGAATCCAGTCCTGAGGAAAAGGTTGACAATGTTGATGTAGACTACTGCATGGGTTGCAGAGAAGAACTACTGGGCTTCATCCTCTGGGCAGGAATGCCAGGTCAGTCTCTCCTCATAAAAGGATATGACCACCTGAGGACAGCGGGTGTTGGCCTCACGGGCTGGGACCAAATCTGCCTCATCCGAATCTTTCCTAAAAGAAGGCAGATTGAGAGAGGAACATTATAGAAAGCCAGCATGAATTAATGTACTTTAAATCAACTAAGTTTATAAGTTGAGGAAAAGTTTACAGCAGGAACACAGTGACAGTTTCATAACTGTGGCTCTGTACACCATGTAGCAAGATCTAAGCAGTGAAAAGCAACTGAAGTGTAGACACTGAGCTTGAAGTTCAAGGGTTTTTTTGGGAAAAAAAAAAAAAACCCTCTTTGCAGGAAACAACCGAAATGTTGGACATCAGCTGCTGACTGGCGTGTATCCAACAGGGAGAAAAACTTGAATTTCTCCCCTTCCACGAATGAAATGCATGGTTATCCAAGTAATTCCACTCAGTTACACTTCCTTCACTTTAAACTTTCTTTGATTGCTATTACAATATTTCAGGATAATTATTTGTACTGTGAAGGATCCAGAAATCATAGCACTCAATACTTTTGAATTCACTGGCCGTCTGCCATTGTAGCATGAAACACCAGTGACTCACTGTATACCATGCACATCCATCCTATGACTTACA